AAACTAACATAACATTGCAAGTCAACTATACTACAATTTTTAAGATTTAAAAAAAAATTTCTTCTTCTCTCGGAAACCTCAGTCTTTGTTCTTAAGGCCTTTCAACTGATTAGATGAGGCACAGCCACATTATTAAGGGTTATCTCCTTTTCTAAAAGTCAACTGACTGCAGTGTTAACCATGTTTGCAAAATACCTTCACGGCCACACCCAGATTAGTGTTTAATTAACTGTAGCCCAGCCAGGCTGACCCAGAAAACGAACCATCACACCCACCAAATTCCAGAAATGAGCATTCATATGATGAGCATTAAGATGCTTCACTCTGAAGAAGCCTTCATGGCACATTTGACATAGTTTCTATGTACAAAAGTTTCACACACAGTTGTCCATACAAAACAAAGTCCACCTAATCTAGGAACCTGCATTCAAGAGGAGACTACCTCTAGAATCCATCCCATCCCCCCATCCCCACAACCCTTCACCTGGCACCCAGCTGCTATCCTCTCTCACCTGGACCACAGCCACAGCCTCATCACTGTTCTGTCACCCTCCAGATCTTCCTGCTCTACTCTGTCATCCACCCTACCCGAGGGTACTCTTTCTAAGTCTCTAAACTGATTGTGTCTCTGCTGATTCAAATTCCTTCCAGAGCCATCCTACTGCATCTGTCACCACAGGTGAGCAGCTGTTAAGGTTTGGTGGCAAGCAGCAGACCCCAAAATCTGACCAATTTAAGTGACAGGGGAATTCATGGAGCATCCCTCCAGGATGGAAGTAAGAGTTAAAGTCTTGATTAAGAAGGTCAGGAATCCAGCTTTCCCTGGTGATCTTGGAAGCTAGAACTAATGGACAGTGTTTTCAGAGCCCAGCTGTGGGAATAAATCAGAGTCAGTCATCTCAATCTCCATGCAACTCTACTCGGGGAGCAGTGTATAAGAAGAGGGTGTTTAACCATATTAACAAATTGAAGGAGAAAAACCATATGATCATCTCAATAGATGCAGAGAAAGCTTTTGACAAAATTCAACACCCATTTATGATTAAAAAAACCCTCCAGAAAGTAGGCATAGAGGTAACTTTCCTCAACATAATAAAGGCCATATATGACAAACCCACAGCCAACATCGTCCTCAATGGTGAAAAACTGAAACAATTTCCAGTAAGATCAGGAACAAGACAAGGTTGCCCACTCTCACCACTCTTATTCAACATAGTTTTGGAAGTTTTAGCCACAGCAATCAGAGAAGAAAAAGAAATAAAAGGAATCCAAATCAGAAAAGAAGAAGTAAAAAGTCACTGTTTGCAGATGACATGATACTATACATAGAGAATCCTAAAGATGCTACCAGAAAACTACTAGAGCTAATCAATGAATTTGGTAAAGTAGCAGGATACAAAATTAATGCACAGAAATCTCTGGCATTCCTATATACTAATGATGAAAAATCTGAAAGTGAAATCAAGAAAACACTCCCATTTACCATTGCAACAAAAAGAATAAAATATCTAGGAATAAACCTACCTAAGGAGACAAAAGACCTGTATGCAGAAAATTATAAGACACTGATGAAAGAAATTAAAGATGATACAAATAGATGGAGAGATATACCATGTTCTTGGATTGGAAGAATCAACATTGTGAAAGTGACTCTACTACCCAAAGCAATCTACAGATTCAATGCAATCCCTATCAAACTACCAATGGCATTTTTCACAGAATTAGAACAAAAAATTTCACAATTTGTATAGAAACACAGAAGACCCCGAATAGCAAAAGCAATCTTGAGGAAAAAAACGGAGCTGGAGGAATCAGGCTCCCTGACTTCAGACTATACTACAAAGCTACAGTAATCAAGACAGTATGGTACTGGCACAAAAACAGAAAGATAGATCAATGGAACAGGATAGAAAGCCCAGAGATAAACCCACGCACATATGGTCACCTTATCTTCGATAAAGGAGGCAAGAATATACAATGGAGAAAAGACAGCCTCTTCAATAAGTGGTGCTGGGAAAACTGGACAGCTACATGTTAAAGAATGAAATTAGAACACTCCCTAACACCATACACAAAAAATAAACTCAAAATGTATTAAAGACCTAAATGTAAGGTCAGACACTATCAAACTCTTAGAGGAAAACATAGGCAGAACACCCTATGACATAAATCACAGCAAGATCCTTTTGGACCCACCTCCTAGAGTAATGGAAATAAAAACAAAAATAAACAAATGGGACCTAATGAAACTTAAAAGCTTTTGCATAGCAAAGGAAACGATAAACAAGACGAAAAGACAACCCTCAGAATGGGAGAAAATATTAGCAAGTGAAGCAATTGACAAAGGGTTAATCTCCAAAATTTACAAGCAGCTCATGCAGCTCAATATCAAAAAAACAAACAACCCAATCCAAAAATGGGCAGAAGACCTAAACAGACATTTCTCCAAAGAACATATACAGATTGCCAACATACACATGAAAGAATGCTCAACATCATTAATCATTAGAGAAATGCAAATCAAAACTACAATGAGATATCATCTCACACCGGTCAGAATGGCCATCATCAAAAAATCTACAAACAATAAATGCTGGAGAGGGTGTGGAGAAAAGGAACCCTCTTGCACTGTTGGTGCGGATGTAAATTGATACAGCCACTATGGAGAACAGTATGGAGGTTCCTTGAAGAACTAAAAGTAAAACTACCATACGACCCAGCAATCCCACTACTGGGCATATACCCTGAGAAAACCATAATTCAAAATGAGTCATGTACCACAATGTTCACTGTAGCTCTGTTTTCAATAGCCAGGACATGGAAGCAACCTAAGTGTCCATCAACCGATGAATGGATAAAGAAGATGTGGCATATATATACAATGGAATATTACTCAGCCATAAAAAGAAACCTACAGTCTGTCATACGGAGTGAAGTAAGTCAGAAAGAGAAAAACAAATACCGTATACTAACACATATATATGGAATCTAAAAAAAAAAAAAAAAAGGTCATGAAGAGCCTAGGGGCAAGACGAGGATAAAGACACAGACCACTAGAGAATGGATTTGAGGACATGGGGAGGGGGAAGGGTAAGCTGGGACAAAGTGGGAGAGTGGCATGGACATATATACACTACCAAACATAAAACAGATAGGTAGTGGGAAGAATTCGCATAGTACAGGGATCAGCTCGGTGCTTGGTGACCACCTAGAGGGGTGGGATAGGGAGGGTGGGAGGGAGGGAGATGCAAGAGGGAAGAGATATGGGGATATATGTATATGTATAACTGATTCACTTTGTTAGACAGCAGAAACTAACACACCATTGTAAAGCAATTATACTCCAATAAAGATGTCAAAAAAAAAAAAAAAAAAAGAAGAGGGTGTTTTATTGGCCAGGATTGATTCACAGGCCCACCTCTTGGCCAGGAAAGGGCCACTGATGGAACCACCAAGACTAAAATTAACAAAAGAGGGAAGGATTCTCAGCAAATCAGAAGAGAGCTCTGACAATTAGCAGAAGAGAGGAAATAGAGACTGGTCCAGCAAGGACAAGACACAGCCACGCCATACCCACTTCTGTCACCGGAAGGATCCCTCCACATCAGCACAGCTAGGGGAGCAAGAAAGGATTGCATTCTCTGAATTCAACAGGGCCAGGAAGGAATGATGGAAGTAGTCCCCAGCCAACTAAGGAGAAACAAGGGCTTTCTGGACCATAAGACAGTAGACACAGCCAGGGACCCTCAGCATGGACCCCAATGTCCCCCACTGTTTCTGTGCCATGGTTCTTCACAAGGAACTCTAAGCCCCAAATGGGAGCATAAAGAACCTTTCCCAACGTCTTACCTTATCCCTCTGTCCTCTCCTCTCTCGTAGCTGGCTATTGGGATCTGTGTGGCTGGGCAAAGTGTCTCAGGGCTCTGCAGTCAAGCAGCAGAGGACAGAGCAGCATGAGTCAGAAGGGAGATCACACTTACCTGAGTTTCTCTCCTTTCATTGTTTTCTTCTTCATTGTCTGCTCTACCCCTACTGGAATGTGAGCTCCATGTGGGCAGAAGCCCATCTGTCTTTTTTGAGTTTGAACTCTATTGAAGATTTTTTTTTATTGAGGTATAGTTGATTTACAATATTCGTTTCAGGTGTACAACATAGTGATTCATTATTTTTATAGATTATACTATATTTGAAGTTATTATAAAATATTGGCTACATTCCCCATGCTGTACAATGTATGAAATAAACTACAACGATCTGTTGTGCAGCCTTATTGGTCTTGATCGCTCCCTGCTGTAGCCCCAAGCATATGACAGTAACTGGCATGTAGTAGGCAGTTAGGAATATAAATATTTGTGACTGAACAAATAGCTTGCAAGTAAGGCGGAGGCTACAGCCCACCTCCGCCTTTGACCCTGAGCCAGACAAGCAAGATTAGGCCTGGAAGTGAGTCAAACCAGGAAGCAAGAGGAAGCTGGATGGAGGAAAGTGCACAGCTCTAGATTCAGCCAGACCTGGGTCCTAACCTGGCTTTGGCACGTGTGGAGCACGTCACTTAACCGCCCACTTATCCTTGGTTTTGAAACGTGGATTTACCACCTATTTCACACTGTTGGGTTGAAAATAAATGAGAATGAAATGTGTAAAATTGGCACAGAGTAAATGCTCTCCGCCCCAGATGCCTTTCATCTCTGTTGTATGCTCAGTAAGGAAGGAAGTTGTTTTAATCAGATGGTGGGAACTGAACACTACATTTCCTGGGGCTGGGGAGTTGTGCATTTTAGGAGAGCAGCCTGGAAAAAGCAATTCCTAACCCACAGGATCGAGCGGGGGAGGAGGGAATGAAACATCAGCGGTGAAAGATCTAGACCATGACAGGCCCAGGGATCCCAGTGGAAAGTCTCCTGCTGCAAACCTCCAGCACATCTAACCTGTGGCTAGGAGAAAGGTCACTTCCGTGTTACCTCTGCTTCTGGGGATGGTATCAAAAGCATAGCAGGCAATTTGGAAAAAGAACTTTATTAACTTCATGAAAAACAGCTGCCGTGAGTCAAGATCTGGACAAAGACAGAGCTCTGGTGGCTTCCAGTCAATGGCCTGGAAAAAGCCACCTGTTCTCTCTATAGCCTCAGACCAGGGTCTCAGTTGGGGTCCCAAGAAGAACACCCCACCTCCTTGCCTCCTCTGTGCAGGCACAGATTCAGGCAATGCATTCTCATTAGACATTAGATTCCCCTGCTCTGTGGATGTCTCACTGAACAGGGAAATGAATCATCAATGCTCCAGACATTCAGGACAGGACAGATCTAGCACACCAGCTACTGTTCTGGATCAGCAACCAGGAACACCATGTTCTGAATAACCAATCAGAAAGTCAGCACTCTGGAGGACCACCCAGAAGTCTAGAATGCAAAATAAGAACCCCTTAACTTTCTAGATGATTCCATCAGGAGTCCCATATTTTAGAATGCCTGTATTCTGGATCAGCCAGAAATCTGACATTCTAGGTGATCAACCAGGAAACCAGTGTTCCGGCATTCCGAAGGAGAACCACTCCTAACATTCTAGATGGTTCACCAGGAATTCAGCATTCTAGATCGACAAACAAGACCACAGTATTCCAGATCGTGGTGAGAGACCCAGGGTTCTAAATGTCCACCCTGATGCTCTCAACACCAAATCAGAAACCCAGCACTGAAGACTATCAACCCTGGCCTCAGCATCTGGAATGATGAGCAGTAAGCTCTACCCTCCAGAATGCTGCTGCCCTGCCCCCTCAGAGCTCTGTGGATGGCCGCCCCACTCCAGGCCCATTCTCCTGGCAGGGGTCCGGCACGTGGAAGGAGACGTAGGGACAAGTCTTGGTGTTGAGGCAAACCAGCTTCCTCAGCGTGGCCGTCTTGACAAGGTTGAAACCCATCTCACCGCCAAACGTGCTCGACTTCCAGTACTCTGGAGAACAGATAGGATTCCCTAAGAGGCCCTTAAGGGAAAAAGGAGCCCCAATTTCTATCATACTCTCCCCAAAGATGGAGTTTGGAGGGCACTTCTCAAGAAGCAGCCCTGGGTAGAACTCCAAGGCATCAATGTCTCCATACAGCTCCTCCAGCTCAGCTGCCATCTCCTTCTCTCCTACAAGGGCGAGAAGCCAAAGTCAGAATCATGATGCCATCCATTATGGTTCATCTGGGGAGAGAATATTCTAGGTCCACCTTTTTCTGGGGAGGAGAATGGACTTCAGAAGAGCACCTTGAGCAAATGAGCACATGTCCTAAAATCTGGCCCGGCTGACTGACCCTGCTCCAGGGCTGCATCTAGGGAAGGAATTTGCTACTGCAGATGGAGTCAAGAGCCTGGATCTGCCACCAAACAGCGTGTGACCTTGAGCAACTCACCCCACTTCTCTGTGCCCTAATTACCTGATCATTACAACAGGCAGAAGCTACCCATCTTGTTTCCTTCACAGGCAGGTTTCAAGGCCTTATCCTGGTCCAAGCCCCTGTGCTCTACCGGAGCTCAGAGATGCAATGTCACTTGTCTAAGATAACATAGAGACTTAGCGACAATGTTCTTTCTGTCTCTCTGGACTTTCATGGGAGACAGACATGGAGTGTCCCTACCTGTCTCCTCAAGTCCACCCTCCACAGGGTACCAGTACACAGTCAGGTGTCATGTCACACCCTGGTCAAAACCTTTCAGTGGCACCCCCATTGTCTGGGACAGGGGTCCCCAAACTTGGCTGCGCAACAACTGGGGATCTTGAACAACAAATATATGTATATATGACATATAGACATATATGTTACATATATTTATTATATATATATTATACAATTTTGTTTTATATATATATATACACTTACATATACATACACATACATATATGTATGGAGATATATATATATATATATATATATATATATACACACACACACATACAGAGTCTTGGGTACCACCTAGGTCTACTGAATCAGAATCTCTGGAAGAGACATCTCAGATTTGGTATTTTTAATTAGTTTTCTAAGTGATTCTCAGGTAGCTGGCCCATAAACGGGACTTAGGAACCACTAGACAGAATAAAACCCAAAATCTTAGCGTAGAATCCAAGATTCTACACAATCTGAGCCAGCCTCCTATCACTAACCTCCACACAGCCACACCTAGGACTGTTCTCCTGAACAGGCTCTTTTTTTTTTTCCTTTTTTTTTTAGGCTCATCCTTTTTAACCCCTGTGCCTTTGTACTTTCTGTTCCTCCACCTAGAATGTTCTTCCCTCTATCCTTCACCTGGAAAATCCCCCCTTTTTTTTTTTCTTTTTTGGCTGTGCCATGTCTGTGCCCCCTGCAGTGAAAGAGCAGAGTCTTAACCACTGGACCGCCAGGGAAGTCCCGGAAAATCCCTTTTTATCCTTCAAACCCAGCTGAGAAGCCACCTTCCCTCCCCAAGCAGAGTCATCTACCATCCCTCGCCACCCCTGGCACCGTGCTCCCACACCCCTCAAATCCCACAGTCACAGTGCTGGCCATACGGATCACCCTGTTCTGTTTCCTCAATGTCTCCTTCACTTCAGCTCAAGCCCCTCAAGGGCAGGAGCCGTGTCCAGGAAACAGCTGCTTACCTGTGAGCTCTTGGAAAGACGTGTAGGGCTTCATGCCAAACCTCTTACGGTACTCATTGAAGGGCTGCAGCCGCAACTCTCTCGATTCCTTGATGACTTCCACAGCCACGTATAGGACATGGTGGTCTATGTTCCTACCCCCGCCGATCTGCCAAGAGATAAACACAGCTGTGGTCTGAGAGCCAGTCCACATTGTCCTGGAGAAGAAATTCAGGTCAGGAGTCCTTTCTGAGCAGAAAGGATGGCTCAGCCTAGCAGCCACCAAGCTGGGAACCCGGCCCTAGGTCTGCACTGCCACGCTTCCTCAGGGACCCCCTCTGAGGCTCAGCTTCCTCATCTGTAGAGTGTGGAGTGGGCCAGGAGGACTTCTCTAGTCACTCACCAGACATACTGTTCCCCAGCCCTTTGAATTTAGGTGAGAACCCACAACATTCTGTTAAGGAAGGTTCTGGAAATATTAGGTTCAGCAACTAGGACTCTGCAGAGGGGATGGCCAGCACGGCCACAGTCCAGAGCTCAAGCAGAGGGGACTGGCATTTCAGATCTGGAAATAAAAGGCAGAAAGTTTTCTGAGCTTTCAAGTGATGGAAAGAGACGGATGGACAAATGTTAGTTTGAGGAGCCAAAACTTTATGGCTTTCCTAGGATATTTTTTAAACTCTACCTGGCAGAACTGACATGTGTCTGTCACTCTCCAAATCAGTTTTTATCATAGAACAAAGATGTTTAATCTTTTAATAGATTCTGCTAAGGAACCTATTTCTATTGCTTTCCATTCTCTATATCACAGAATTGAGATTAAATAAAATTTACTGAGCATCTAGTATTAAAAAGTGAACCCCAGGGACTTCCCTGGTGGCGCAGTGGTTAAGAAACCTCCTGCCAATGCAGGGAACGTGGGTTCGAGCCCTGGTCCGGGAAGATCCCACATGCCGCGGAGCAGCTAAACCCTTGCGCCACAACTACTGAGCCTGCGCTTTAGAGCCCGCAAGCCACAACTACTGAGCCCACGTGCCACAGCTACTGAAGCCCATGTGCCTAGAGCCCATGCTGCACAAGAGAAGCCACCGCAAAAAGAAGCCTGCGCTCCGCAACGAAGAGTAGCCCCCACTCGTCTCAACTAGATAAAGCCCGCGCGCAGCAACAAAGACCCAACACAGCCAAAAATAAGTAAATAAACAAATTAAAAAAAAAAAAGTGAACCCCTAGTAACAGGCCACCACTAGAAAAGAGAAACTGAGCTAGAAGGTAGGAACACAGAGTATCAAGTTACTCCATTCAGACCAGATAAAGCTACACACAGGGACAGGTGATTACATCTGTTTCTCCTTCTTTCTGCCAAGCCTCCTGGGAGAGGAATTGTCGTGAGCTAGCAGGGAGGTAACTAAAATCTTGCCATGAAAAGTGTAATATATAAACACATTTAGTTTAACTAAACTTGTAGTTTTACTTCAAGACCAAGGGGGTGGCGTAATATTTCCTGTGAAGGGAGGGAAATAGGGTTCAAAGCCCAAGTAACCTGTTGAGATGAAGGCTCCAGAGGGAATTCCCTGGTATCTCGGTGGTTAGGACTCTGAGCCTTCACTGCCAAGGGCCCGGGTTCAATCCCTGGTCGGGGAACTAAGATCTCACAAGCCGCACAGCACAGCCCAAAAAAAAAAAAAATCTAAGGAGGGACTTCCCTGGTGGCCCAGTGGTTAATACTCCGCACTCCCACTGCAGGTTGGGGAACTAAGCGTGCTGTGCGGCGTGCCAAAAAAAAAAAAAAAAAAAGGCGCCAGAAAAAAAAAAAAATCTGATTCATAACTGTTAAGGAGCATAGGTCTACTACTGTATAGCACAGGGAACTCTGCTCAATATTATGCAACAACCTGAATGGGAAAAGCATTTGAAAAAGAATAGATACATGTATATGTATAACTGAATCACTGCGCTGTACCCCTGAAACTATCAGAACATTGTTAATCGACTCTACTCCAATATAAAATAAAAAGTTTAAAAAGATATTCTTAATGCAAAAGAATTGTCAAAAAAAAAAAGGAGCATACATCTAAAGAAAGATCTATTGCTCAGGGTGAATTGATAATGATAATGCTAAAGAAAGAGTTCTTTTTGGGTAGAACAAGGACAATTGGGTGAGAAAGAGGAAAAGCATAGTTGGGTGAAGTTATACACCCTGGGGCAAAGCCAGAGGAGGCTGGTGCCAATCTCAGCTGAACCATTTACAAGCTGTGGGGTCATTGTGGATTGACTTGCCTGCATCCGAGTTGGAGTCCTAACCCTCAGCACCTGTGAATGTGACCTTATTCGCAAATAAATGTAATCAAGGTCATACTCCACTAGAGTGGCCCCAGATTCAATGACTGGCGTCCTGATAAAAAGGGGAAAGAGAGACACAGGGAGAGCACCATGTTGGAGTGATGCTGCTACAAGCCAAGGAACCCCAAGGATTGTCAGCCGTCACCAGAAGCAGAGAGAAAGGGAGGGAACACATTCTCCCCTGGAGCCTTCAGCAAGAGTACCGCCCCGCCGACACCTTGATTTTGGACTTCTAGCCTCCAGAACTGTGCAACGATAAATTTCTGATTGGTATTAATACCATCTGGGGGAGTTAACTACAAGGGCTTTCTAGAGAAATGTTTGAGGATTGATCTTTTTCATGGCCTAGATGTTAGTAACGTGTAGTAAATGTTTAATGGATGCTTGGATGGATCAATGAATAAATGAATAAAAGGTGATGCTTCTCAGATGTAAGATGGGAATATTTCTTTCCTTTTCTGGATGGTTCTTTGTTTATGGAGGAAACCCCAGTAGCCTAACACTCTTAGCATCTTTTTCCAACCTCTCCCCTTCGCTCCTTATTAGAAGACGAGGAGTAACTTAGTATTATTGGTGAGTTTGAGCACAGTAACTAGGCATGCGTTGTTCAAGCTGTCCTCTCTGCCGCTCTTGAATTCAGTTGACACCAGGGAGTATGTTTTCTCTCATACTCCTTGTTCTGGGGGATCAGGAGGATGTTGAGAGAGACTTTCCTTGTTTCCATGCTTCCATGTCTTGGTAGCCAAGTTTGTCTATTTGGGGGTTTATTATTCAAAAGCCTGCTTTAGGTTTTCTAGAATCAGCTTTATCAGTAATAGAGGTGATATTTTGAACTTCCAAAAAAATAAAAAAGAAAAAGAATAAATGTCTGCTGCTTAAAGCCCCCTGGTTTGTGTTCCTTTTGCAGCCCTAGGAAACAAATACAGGGACTGTAGGCAAATGACTTACGCTAGCCCTCTGTTTCTTCATATGCAACAATGAGGAAGGTAGGAGCATCAGTCTGATATGCTTGTGAAATAAGCACGTGGTGAAATAATCGAGATAAAGAATACAAAGCAGTTATCACAGCGTTGGTCACACGGTAACCCCGAGATGGAACCATGGGTGGGGATTATCAGGGGAGGCCCTGTTTTATCACTTCTCACACTCTCTTTGATATCCTGAGAATCCACACACTTCTGTGACCCTTCTGCCTGGTACCAGGAAATACCAGGGCTTTTCACAACGTCACCAGGGACATTGCTGGAAAATTCTTTGGAAACCATGAAGCCCCCGCACACGAGTTATTGTCTCTGTTCATGTCTGTGTCCCCACAAAGAACAGAGGCCGTAAACCAGCCAGCAGCTGCGCATTGGCGGCAGCATATGCTAATTGCAGTCAAATTACCAGGGGGAAACGTAAATCCATATGGTGCCACAACTTCATGGTAGGGCTGAGGGGTAAGTATGAGAGAGAAGCAGGGGCTGAGGGGGGCTAGGGAAGGAGATGGGAGCTTCCAAACAGGGGGAAGGGAAGATTTAGGAGGAAATTAGTTAGAAATTCCAGAGGGAAAGGCAGTATTATTTTGCTAGGGCTGCCATACCAAAGTGCCTAGGTGGCTTAAACAGCAGAAATTTATTTCCTCACGGTTCTGAAGGCTAGAAGTCCAAGATCAAGGTGTGGGCAGGGTTGGTTTCATTCTGAGGCCTCTCTCCTTGGCTTAGAGATGGCCAACTTTCCCCTTTGTTTTCCCTCTATGCACACCTATATCGTAATCTCCTCTTCTTATAAGGACGCCAGTCATAGCAGGGCTCACCCAATGACCCCATTTACCTTAATTAACTCTTTAAAGACCCTAGCTCCAAATACAGTCACATTCTGAGGTATTGGAGGTTAGGACTTCAGCATGGGAATTTGGGGCAGGGGGCAGTTCAGCCCATAACAGAGGCCTCTAATGTAATAAAGACCTACTATGTGCAGGCATTTTTGTATATATTGCCATACCCTGAATGTCTTCCTGGTCCTCAAATTGCCATGCCCTCTGACCTCTGGGCCTTTGCCACACTGTCCCCTCCATCTGGAACACAGAGACCCCGGGCCACGAACGCTACCTCTTGCCCTGGGAGACCCCTATCCATTGTTTGGATCTCTGCTCAAACATCACTTCCTTATCCACAATCCCCAACTCTGGGCCAGAAGCCCCTCTCTGAGTTCCCAGAGCATGGTGGGCTTTCCATATTGTGGTTCTTAACATGCTCTTATAATTCTGAAAACATCAGAAAAGCCCTTGGTACAGTGCCTAACATGTAGTAAGTGCTCAAACGATGTTAGCTGTCACATGACTGTCGTTCCTTTCTAGGGTGTACGCACCAAAAATACAAGGACCCAAGAATCACATTGACCTGGTTCACCACTGTATCCCCAGCACCTGCAGTAATGCCTGGTATCGTTGAATGAACGAAAGAATGACAGAATGAATGAAGGAATGATCACGACCTCTCAGTAGGGGTGACACTCTCCCCCTTTCACAGAAAACAGGGGTTTGGATCCCAGAGCCCAGCGGCCCTCCCCAGCGCTCCTCTGAGGCTCACCTGTCCCGCGGGCTGGCGAGAGAAGGCGTCCACCAGGGCCTCGACCCCATAGTCCACCAGCATGGAGGTGTTGAACAGGAACTGCTCATAGCTGTAGTTCTGGGGGCCCACCCAGAAGGAGTCGGGCATGAGCGGGTGCCAGTGGTAGAGGTGATTGAACTCCATGGCAATTCGGTTACGGTACTGGAACTGTGTGCCTAACAGCAGCTCCGGGTCGAACTTGAGCTTCAGGAAGTAGCCACTCAGCTGCTGCACGTACTCCTCGATCACAATCTTGATGGTCTCCCCTGGGACGAAGGATGGGGAATGGGGTCAACAGAGCACAGGGACTTAGCCACCAGGCTTGGGAAGTGGGCCAGTTCATGCAAAGGGCTTGATTTGGCCTCTTTATCATTGTAATGGTTGTTTGATTTTATTTGGCCACTTTCACTGCCTTTTTGTCACGGGGCGTGAAAATGGAACTTTCTGTCTCAGGCCGCACTGATGTCCCAAGACAGGAGCCATCTGCTAGTCCCATGTTCCCCGGGGAGGTCACAGGCCGGGCTGAGCAGGACACGCAAAGGAAGTGTCTGAGGATGGGTTTTGTGACCCTCTGGTGGCCACCTTCCCACAGCCCATTAAAAGAGGCTGGAGACACCACAAAAGGTGGGCACGTAGAGATTAACTTAGTGAGGGAATCTCAGCGTGCCTAAGATGATGGGGGGTGAGGGGAGCTCCCAAGAGACCATTCTAAGAGCTGCAGCAGCAAACAAGGGACACTGGAGACATAAGTGAATCTCGTCCCAAATATAACCCTCCTGTCTTCCTATGTATCAAATTCCTCTGCCCCCTCGGGAACAAGCTACAGAGCAAAGAGCCAGGGAAGACACAAAAGGAACATTGCATAACACAATGAAAACTGGTCAACTAGAATTAGAAGAAACTGATATTTTGGCCAACTAACCACTAGACAAACTGACTTGTAGCAAATTGATCTGGAGCCACTGGAACTGCAATCAGCAGACCTGGGTTTAAATCTTGGCTTCACCGTTTCTAGCCACCCGAGCTGGGGCTGTGCTACTTACTCTCGCTGAAGTTCACTCTCCTTATCTGTAAAATGTGTACTAGAATCATACCAGTATAACAATATTCACAGGGTTGCTAAGAGGAGTAGACGATGGATGCATCTGAACCTCTTGGTACAGGGCCTGGCATGACACAGAGGGTCAATATGTGTGGAAGTGGGAACACTACGTGGAGGTGTGAGGGGAGAATCCCCTCCCCATACGCACACGTCACAAAAGAGTAGATTAAGGCTCACACCCCCTCCCCACTCAGGAAAGCACTCCCCTCAAGATGTGGTGGAAGCAGCATAAACTGTGGTGGCAGCCAGACCTGGTTCAAGTCTCTCTTCACTGAATGGCCTTGGAGAAGTCACTTACCCTCTCTGCCACTTAATCTTCACAACAAAGGGTAATCCTATCTGGGTCATAAGGCTGTCGGGGAGGGTTGAATCAAGCACTGGAGGTGCAGGGCCCTAGGAGTCCCGCCTCTGGCCACAGCTTCATCACCAGTCAGTATGCTGGGCAGGCTGCAGACACAGACTTGCCCTCTCTGATCAAAGTCTCTATAATACTGGGACTTCCCCATTGTAAAGCAATTATACTCCAATAAAGATGTTAAGAAAAAAAAAAAAATACTGGGACTTCTGAACCAGCCCCTTCTCGTTCTTTAGGCCGTTCCTAACCCCAGTGCATGGCTCTTCCAGGAACCAATGAATCAGGCACTATAATTGGGAACAGTCACGCCCAGTGATGCTGAGGCAGGGGCAGAGGCTCACTGGTGACACAGAGTGAATACGGTCTGGACAGGGGTGTCGGGGGCCAAGCTCCCAGGCCAAAAACCATCTGACATTTTAGGCTGCAGGCTCACCCCTGTAGGGGACACAAAAATATCTTGTCCCTGAGGCACCCAGAAGCTACCAACCTCCAGGAAGGCAGATGCACGCAGGGCAGGGAACATAAGGATTCCCGAAGCCCAGGCAAGCTGGGGTATTTGCTGAGGATGTCCCTGAGTTCTCCTGGGATGATGGGGAAACTGAGATTTGGGGTGGCTAATCAGATTTGCTGCTAGTCACCCAGCTAATAATCAGCTACCGCAGCCCTCCGTTTTCCGAAGGCCTACTATGTGCTAAGTACTTTCCCATTCATCATCTCAACAAATCCTTACCACCATCATTATTCCCAATGTATAGATTTGGAAAGTGAGGCTCACACAGGGGAAGGACCCTGTTCAGAATTCGAATCTCTCTGTCCCCAAACCCTCCACTCCGCTTCTCAGGACAGAGGGCATGACCTTCCAGGACAAGGCTGGCTTGGAGTCCTCACCGATGAGGATGAGGCGGGCCGTCTGGAAGAGTTGCTCATCGCCCCAGGTGGGGTGCTCAGCCTTCAGCAGGTCACACACTCGGTTGTGCTCACGCAGCCAGAGTGTGGCGTAGAGCATGAGCCCAGGAAGCAGCCCGAACACCTCCTGGCCCACTGCCATCTGGCTCTGGGGCGGGATGCCCCGGGGGTAGTGCATCAGCACAGGCGCCTCTTCCACCGATGGCGGGTACATCTCTCCGTCCAGCACCTGCAGGATGGGGCCACCTGGTAACCTGGGGAGGGGCCGGGTGCCTGCACCTGCGCAGCTGACAGCCTTCCACTCCTACTGACAGCTGCCTGTAACACGCAGGGTGGCCGCCCGGCCTCCCTGACCAAGGCCTGTGGATTCTACCTCCTAAAGTGAGATCCTTTCTCTCTCCGCTCTGCCGCCACCCTCTTCCAACCCACCCTCATCTTCCACCCTGACTCCCCTCATAAGTGGCTCCATCCCCTCAGACAGTCCATTCTCGGCTCTGCAGCCAGAGCAATCCTTTAAAACACCCAAATCGAGCATCACACCCTGACTTAAAACCCTTCCAAGTCCTCTCTCTGCTCTTGGCAGAAATCAGAAATCCTTAACGCGACCCTCGCTCATCGGGAATCACTCAGGTGTCCAGCAGCATCTCCCTCATTTTCCTCCCTTGAATTCACTCAAGCTGACTTCCCTTCTCCAGCCTTGATGCCTGATTAACCTGGCCTGTCCTGTGCCCTTCTTGGCCTCCCTAACTTCTCATCATCATTCATGCAACTCTTGGTTTATTCGTACTTCCTAAGGAAGCCTTCCTCATCCTTTGCACACTCTCGTGGCTTCTCCCTGGTGGCAGCTGTCACAAGTGTAATTAATTATATGGCAGTGTCATCATTCACTCAATAAATATCCACCGAGGACCTACCATATGCCAAATACTCTTCTTAGCCCAAAAGATTCAGCAATGAACTTTCTGTCTTGGTTTTTGTTTGTTTAGATTTGTATGGTCCAGTATGGTAGCCACTAGCTACGTGCAGCTACTAAGCTCTAGAAACGTGGTCGGTGTGAATGAGGAACTGGATTTTTAATTTTTTTCTTTAGATTTAAATTTTAAAACAGATACCTCAGCTATTGGGAAGTCTTTATGCTTAGAACAACTTGGACATGTGAATCTACTTTCTCAACTGTAAATTTTATGAAATCTAAATTCAGATCAGAATCTCCAACAAAAATCTGGCACCCAAATTGAGATGTGCTATAAGTGTAAGATACAGGTCAGATTTTGAAGATTTAGCACAAACAGTGAGATATTTTATTGACAATTTTTGTGTTGATTACATGTTGAAATGATAAGATTCTGGATATATTGGGTTAAATTAAAAATTATATTATTAAAATCAATTTTGCCTGTTGCTTTTTACCTTTTTTAATGTGGCCACTAGAAAACTTCAGATAACTTAGATGTGGCTCACAGCAATGAAACAGGGCAAATGATGCCTATTTTATGCAGTGGATTTGAGAAGTGCATGAGACAATTACCTATGTGGCTCTAGCACCACTGAACAGTGTGAGTTCAGGTGAAAAGTCCTCATGGAACTAGCACCCTACTGTTTGTGTCTGTGGTCCCTGAGGAGCTTGAGGGTAGGGCCCATAACTATCACGGCCACTGCTCCCCTGTGCCAGGCACGTCATAGTGCCCAATTAATATTGTAGAATAATTAAATGAATAAATGCAGGCTGGAAATGTTCATCTCCTGTGGAGCCCCAAAACCCACCTCCCAGGAGAACACGAGAGGCTACGTCTGCTCCTTGTCTGCTTCTCTTGCTTGGCACCCTTTCCCAGGGTTTGCTGTCTCTCCTCCGACCACACACCTCCAGCTTCTGCAGCTGGCCATCTCAGGACACCCTGGAGGCCCCCACCAACAGCTTCTGCCAGGGAAGACCATGGAAGGTTCTTCCCAACGCCCCATCCCAAGACCCAGTGCTACCTGGTACTTGAGTTTCCCATCCTTAAAGAGCCGCAGGTGATACTGACGTTCCAGATTGTCTCCATAAATGTGGCCAAGGTCGACCTGAAGACAGAGAGATGGTCCACTCAGACCTCTGGGTCCTGCCCCACCTGTAACAACCTCCATGTGCCAAGTGCAGCCCAGAGAAGTCCCGAGCCCTTCCCAGGTACTCACCCCATGGCCCAAAGCCTTGGTGAAGCCAGGACCCATCTTGCCAGAAGTTTTGAAGAACTGATGTGTGAAGTGTTGTGCAAAGAAGGCGAACATGAGGTTGCTGCCTTGGGGGTCGGGGATGAACTGCCTTCTGAGCAGGAAGTGACGGCTCAGGAGCTCGGCATCTGGCAAATGCTTCTTCCCTGGTCGGGGAGGTGGGACAGAGCAGTAGCTGCTTCCTGTCTGGATCTTCCTGCCTCAGGGCTTTCCAGGCTCGCCAGACCGAACTGGTCCACGCAGGAAGCCCAGAGCGGCCTCCGCAAGGACCACCTCCCTCCCACCTGATGGCCCCTTGCACTTTCTCTACCAAAAGACTCCAGAAGTACTTATGGGTGAAATGGCATGATATCTGGAATCTGTTTTTAAAAACTCCATAAAAAGTAAGGTGAGAGGGGACGGAGGAAATAACATTGGCAAATTGTGGACAAATCTTGAAACCCAGAGATGGATGCATAGGACTTCCGTCTACTTTTCTCTCAACTTTTGTGTATGTTTGCTGCTTTGTACAAGTTAACCCTTCTCCCCCCAGAGAAGAAAGAGAAAACAAACAAACAGAAGGATTTGGACTCCCCAGCCCTGGAGAAATGGGTTATGCCATTACTAACTGTGTGAACGTGGAGAAGTCATCCCATCTTTCTGACCCTCAATTTCTTCTTCTATAGTATAGGGCAAATGATATCTATTTTATGCAGTGGATTTGAGGAGTGCCAATGTAACTGGCAGAAAACTGGTGAGATGGAATCTTTTAGACCAAGGGTCAGCAAACTTTTTCTGTCCAAGTCCAGATAGTCAATATCTTAGGCTCTGCCAACATGTGGTCTCTGTCGCACCTGCTCAGCTTGGCTGATGCGGCAGGAAAGCGGCCACAGGTGATACCTAAGGAATGTGACTGTATTGTCCTTTGTGTACTTGAAACTGAACTGATGGCTCTAAATTGATGGCTCAAAGCCCCCTGTTTGAAGACAATCACAGGAGTGGATAAGGTCTTGGGAAGAAGACCCCTGCCAATGAGACCAAGTGGGGGTCTTGAACAACTAAAGAAAAAATTTGACTTTATGTGTAAACTGCGCCGATGAAGCACATAAGACTGTTTACATTAGTAAAGACCCAAACTCAGAGTTAGCACCCAGTAAATAGCTCACGATTCTTTCCTTCCTCCATTTCAACTTTAAAGTCACCCCCATCCCAGCAGGATCCCACCCATTTAGTAGACAAGGTTCAGGCAAAGAGGCACCCTGGAAATATGGAAGCACTAGTCTGACTCTGCCACTGACCTCAGGCAAGACCCCTCCACAACCTCTTCCTGTCCTCATCCCTGGCTCTGCATATGCATATGTCTTGCCTTGGTCCACCCATCTGTGAAATGGGTCAGTAACTGCTTTTCTACTTGTTTTTTCCCAAACAGAAGAACTAAGCATCTCCTGTGACACAGCCCAGGCCCAGCCCCCTCACCCCATCGCCATTACCTTTGGTCCCCATGGGCGTGGGACAGTCTCGGGGCACAGAGGGCAGAATACGCGTATAGTAGCTCACGTTGGAGAAGGACTCCCAGCTGATGTAGTCATGCGCTGCGTTGTAGGTGTGGGGGCTGGGGATGAGGTTGGAACGCGCTGCAGAGGGTGAAAATAATAGTGACCAGGGGTTCCTGCCCCCAGTTACACACCCCCTTCCCCGCCTCTTCTTGGGTTATTCTATTTTTGGTCCCCCCATGCGGCCAAAATCTTACTTCCCCGACCAGGGATTGAACCCGCACCTCGGCAGTGAAAGCACGGAGTTCTACCCACTGGACGGCCAGGGGATTCCTTGGGTTGTTCTTTTTTTATTTGGCACCCTAGAAGCCCCCCGCCCCCAACCCCTGCCCTTATCATACGCCAAGAATTCCAGGAAGTGGCAGGATTTCTTGCTCCCCTAGATTAGGAGGGCCCCGCCCCCACCCACCTATGAGTACCAGACGCATGAGCATGTCCCGGATGTAGGTGGCATTGACAAACTCCCAGAACCAGCGGCCATGCGTCAGCAGGAAGTGGAGGAAAGAGGGGCTGGGCCGCAAAGTAGTCCGGAGCCAGGTCCATAGCTCAGCTGTGAGGGCAGTGGGAGCCATTCAGTCAGGCCCTCCTGGCAGGACCAGAAGCAGCCAGAGTGGAAGATGGGAACGGGGGACGAGGGCCAGGATGGAACAGGGTAGAACCTCTGGGGCAGGGGTAAGGATGGAACCTTGGGAGTGATGGCACGTGACAGAGCCAGAACCAGACGTGAGGACAGGGGACAGGACCAGGGACTGAGGTCAGTAAGGCCGGAGCTGGGCAGTGAAAACTCACTACAGAGCCCAGAAGCAGGGAGTGGGGTGTGCCAGGAGTGAGGGCTTGGGCTGGAGCCAGGTCAGGGGCAGTGTCAGAGGTCAAAGGCAGGCAAGAAAAGAGAACAGGGCCACGGCCAGAGGCGAGGGTAGGAAATGGGGGTCTTGAAGGATGAGACCAGGGGAGAAGGATTGGGGCTGGAGGCCCAGCTCACGGATGGTGCAGTTGGGGCCAGAATAGCCCGTGCGGGTGCAGTCACACTGGTAGCGGTCAAGGCCGAAGCGGACACAGATACCCCGGTGCTGGCATGGATAGTAACAACAGGGGTTCACTGTGGGGAGAAACAGAGATCAGAGACCACTCCGGGGTGACCTCTCGTTGGGGCCAGAGGCATGGAGTCCAGTCACAGCTCTCTCCTAACTTACTGGACTCCTGTGTTCCCCAAGGGTCCTCTCTGTCCCCACAGCTATGGACAGAAAGCCCCTGGCCCTTCCGTTTCCAGACCTTGCTCTGGGTTTCCAGTCTTCCCCACATCAGGCCACCAGGGGAAGTCCCCCCCTCCCTCCCTGCTGCCACCAAAGTGGGGCAGGAGAAGAGTCCAGGCCCCAGGCTGTGACATCAAAGGCTAGGAAACAGCTGATAAGACACTGCAGCCACAGGCTTTTCTAGAGCATTCACTTTCTGCCAGGTCAGAGCTCAGCACCAAGAGCAGAGTTTGTGGGGCTCGGTAAAGGGAAAAGGATAGGGGTTCTCAGACCAACCCCCAACCTCTGGGCACCAGGCCCTACCATTCCTTTATTTTTGCAGAAGGGAAGGAAGAGCAGGTATCACAACGTCCAGTTATAGGCAGATGGGGTGGGGTGACTGAGGCCAAATAAGGGGAAACCCAGATGGGTCACCCAGCAAGTGGCACCAGACCAACTGCCCATCCCTTCACTTCCACCCCACCCCCAGACACTCAGCTGTCAAGTCCAAGGTAAGACGTTTCCCAGAACCCAGAAGACAGAGAATGGGTTTGAGGGGAGTCTCAGCTCCCATCCTGAAAGACCCAGCCCCGGCTCACATCAGGGTGGAGTATGGGCTCTAGGATCTTGAGGGAGGTCAGGCACCACGAGAACAGGAGAGATATGGCCGGAAAACTCTCTCCAGAGGGTGAGTGGAGCTCTAGCATCACCCCCACCAACCCCCTGGAGAACCCCCCCCCACAGGAAGTCCCTCCTTGTGTCTAACCCAGATGTCCCTAACCACAGCTTCAATGATTCTCCAACAGCAAGGTCAGAGTCTCCTTGGAGCTCCCTCAGTGCTCTTTCACAGCTCAGCGAGGGACACCGAGGCTCGGGAAGAGGTGGCGACTTGGCCAAGACCAAGGAAGAGAGCCAGGCCTCCTGCAAACCCAGGGCTCCTGGCTCCTGGCAGCAGCTCCTTCCCTGGCCTTCCACAGAAAACACCAGGTCCCTCCTGCAAACACACTTCCTTAACTGGGCTCAGAGCCAACGTTACAGGGAACTCTGATTCTTTGTGCATCTGATTATAGGGGGTCAAGAGGATAGCAACGGGCGGTAGGAGGCTGAGAAGCCGCTGCAGGCTGACCACCTGCTGTGGTCACAGGGCAGGACCCTCTGGTTTAGGGCTCCTCACATCGCAGAATCATGCAAACAGTCTTGCTTAAGCCCTGGCAACTCCCCACAGCCCCACGATAGCATCTCTGTGACCCTTGCAGGGTATAAAAAGAAGGAACCCATGGGAAGAAGTCTGAACAAAAAGGCCTTATCAGACCAACGCAGGCGGACCGGCAGGTGGGGCCCAGGGCAGGGGCCTGGCAGGACCCCCTCCCCTCCTACAGCCACAGGCCCAGAAATGCCAGGGAGCTCAGGCTCAGCCGTGCAGCGGGCTCAGGGACCTGGGATCTCATCGATCCCTCCTGCTCAGGACACTCTGCCGTTCCGCCCAGGAGCTCCAGTGGCGCCACACTGCCCAGCTCCCGACCCTGGCGCACCAGGCCCTCTGTCACCAACGGGTCGCCCTACCACTCAGCGGGCACAGGGGCTGAGGTGCGGCCCTTCTCTGGGCTGTTTCCCCACCCCTCCCCCAGCAGGGATCCCAGAAGGAGCTCTGTTCTGGGGCAGCCCATCCTGCGGCCCCAAAGCAGAAAGCTCTGCTCTGCTCCCTCCTTGACCCAGGCTGCGGCTCCTCCCTAGTAAATTCCCTCCGGATCTACCTAACCCTGCCCACTGCGCATGCACCAGAAAGCCGCCCCCTAAATGTCCACACTCCGCCGCTCTCTCTCGCCCCTGCTCCACGTTCCAGCTCGACCTGCTCTGCTCCACCACAAGCCTCCAAGGAAAAGGGCTTTCCCTGACTTTCTCCTCCCTCACAGAGGCCGTGCACACAGCTGGGGCTCAACCCATGTCCTGGAGAGATCCAGCCACCCAGGGAATCCAGATGAGGTGGCCAGAGCTTAAATGTTTGTGGAATTTAAACTGCAGCGAGGAGACCAGCCAGCCCAAGCTTGGCCAAAGGGACTCCCTGATTCCCCCAGCACCCCCGCAGCTGGCTCTGAAGTCTGGCTTGAGGGCTTCAGCAGGCAGCAGAGCTGCGGCCCCTGACGCAGAAACTCCTGCCCGCATCCCGCTCCCTCTCCTGTCAGGAGAGTCTGTGTGCCTGGCGCGGGCAAAGGTCCCTCCCTCCCAGATCTGCTGCCCAACTTTCCCTCCCTCCTCTTCTGCGATCTTTCCATAAACACCGGCGGTCCCAGGGGGGGGAAAGTTCTCCCCAGCAAGGATAGCAGCTGCCGCTGGCGGCCCCGGAAGCCAGGGCTCCGGCTGACCCTGCAACCTTGCATATCCACCTCGTTTATCTGCTCAGCACTCCCTGGTGGCTGGGTGAGACTCCCCGCTACCCCTGCCACCCACCCCCAACGCTGCCACAGATGAGGAGACTCGCCCAGGCCCCACTGCTTGAAAGTTGCAGAGCCAAGATGAACTCCCTTCTCTTCCCTGCCCTTCCTCCTCCTGGAGGTGCCCAGGCCTGGATTTGGGGAAGGGATGCAGAGGGAGAGTCACTTTGTACCACAGGCTGGGGATGACCCCAGGTGAGATAGGTTTGTTACCTTTCCTTCAAGGTGGACCTGAAAATCCAGAATGAATGAAACCAGGACCCCAGAGGGAGCGCCATCCCCTACTGCGACCAGAGCTCTGGGAACTAGTCACAAAGGAAGGCCTTCCTTCAGTCTAACTTAAATCCCACATGCTTTCATGTGCCCAGCGGAGGACACCCTGTATAATAAAACATCAAGAAAGAGAACTAGGGAGATGCAGACACAAAGTCTAAAGTGTCTTGAGTTCCCACACCCAGCACAGGGCGAGGCACCAAGTAGGGGCTGGGTGAAGATCTATGGGAGAATGACTGCTCTTTACTGGCTGTGTGTCCTTGGGCAAGTACCCTGTACCCTCTGGGCCTTATTTTTCAGCGTTTTCCAGGAAGGGGAGGGGACAGACAGGCTCTAAGGAAAAACCTCCCTCTCTGCCTCCCCTTCTCTTCTCAACTCTGGGCAAAGCCAATCTATCTCCAAATATCTGGGTTATTTGCATCAATATGATTCCCTCCCCTTCTCTTCTCAACTCTGGGCAAAGCCAATCTATCTCCAAATATCTGGGTTATTTGCATCAATATGATTCCCTCCCCTTCTCTTCTCAACTCTGGGCAAAGCCAATCTATCTCCAAATATCTGGGTTATTTGCATCAATATGATTCCCTCCCCTTCTCTTCTCAACTCTGGGCAAAGCCAATCTATCTCCAAATATCTGGGTTATTTGCATCAATATGATTCCCTCCCCTTCTCTTCTCAACTCTGGGCAAAGCCAATCTATCTCCAAATATCTGGGTTATTTGCATCAATATGATTCCCTAGCCCCACCAGCAGAGAACCTTGCAGCTTGCTCTCACTGCGTCTTCAAGCCAGCCCAGAGGTGGGGCTGATCAGCAAGCCCACACTGCACACATTCCCACTGATGAGGAACTGTTTAGGACTTCCCGGCTCCAGAACTTTCTGAGGATCCGGCAAGGAAATGTTCCCCAGCCCAGGAGTCAGGGATCCAGGCACAGTGAGGGAACACCAAGTCGTCAGGACTTGGAAGCACCAGGCAGCAAGAGGGCCCGTTAAAGAAAGAGGCTGGACTGAAATTCCGTAAGAATAATATTTAGAGAAGCTCCAGGAGCTTGGCAGCCAAAGAGAAAAAAAGGGGGGGCCCTGATCAGCCAGACCTGGGCCCCAGGCCCTACACCCTACCAGGTCAGCAGCCAGCCGCCAGGCACCACCGCAGCAGGCCCCGATGGCTGGAAGAGGAAGTCCTCTCCCAGCCCACAGACTCCTCTGGTGCCGCAGATAGGAGGCTGCAGGCAGCAGGAAGGTTTGGCACAGGCGGGGTTCCCGCCCCACGTTCCAGGGTTAGCTGGCCTCAGGCCCCTCTGCCTGGCATGGAGCTCCGGTTGCCAGGTCATGCCCTATCCCTAGCCAAAGAGAGGGCACTAAGCCCAGTCCAGGAACTGGAGGGGATGAACTTGAGCATTAAGGAAGCCCTGGCACATCCCTGTCCTCCAAGCCGGACTCCACCTCGTCCGTCACAAGAGAGGCAGAAGCAACATTCTCTCCCGCCACCTGCCCCCACATAAGCTTGCAGCCCTCATCTCCTGGGGGAATCAGCCTTTGCTGCCGCTCTGGGGACAAAACACAGGCTTTGGGTTTCCAGGGCAGATGCCTCCCCTGAATGTCCAGGCATCTTGGACCTCAGTTCACCCAGAGATGTGGAAACAGGAAGGCAGCCCAAACCTTCTGCCCCAAAACCCAGCTGATCCTCTGTTCTTTCCTTGACCCTTGCAGCAGCCTCCTTAATGGTTCCCCAGCCTCCAGTCTCACCTCCAAGTCATCCGCCCAATCTCACTCTTCTGTTCCCAGTTACCCTGAGGCCCCAGTCCCTCTCCTCATTCTGCATCCAAAGGCCCGTGTCCACCAGCAGCTGCCTCTGTCCTACTGCTCCCTGTGTGCCCTTCCACTCCCACAGTTCAGACCTTTAGGCTTCAGCTCATGCCCTTGCTTCTGCCAGGAAGACCCCTTCCAGAGTTTCATAGTAAAACCTCACAGGATTTCCACCAACTCACCACCTCCTTTGGGGTCCCGGTCAAACGTCACCACCTCCAAGAAGCCTCCCGAAATTCCTCACATGTAAGGGACGAGAGATAACTGCCCCCCACCCCCGAGCCCCGCACACCCCTGTGCTTCCCTCAGTCATGGCCCTGACCCCCTTGGATGACAGTCTGTGGGCATTTCTATCTCCTCCACCAGACTGCGAGCTCCTCCCAGCTCTGTCTCCAGGCTGCAGCCAAAGACTGGCATAAAGCAATCCCCTGGGAATGTCTGTGGCGTGAAGAAAACAATTCTGTTTAAACGCAATATAAAGATAAGTAGAAAAGGCTAAAAGCAAAATGGCACAGACCATGGCTCACTAAGTACTGGTGAACAGACACAGGAGGACAGGCAGGGTGAGCCCTGGGTACCCTAGGGGCCTGGATGGGGCTGAATGGGGCTTCAGAGGAAGTGCTGCGCTGATCCAGGGGCTAACAAAAGGGGCCACTGGGTCAGCCTAGTCAGCCTCGGCTCTGCTACTGGGGTGTCAGACAAATGGGCTCACCCCTCTGGGCCTCAGAGTTCCCTTCTGTAGAATGGGACTAACATCTCCCTGGCAGGGCTGTTGTGAGCACCAACAACAGAGGTGCCCACAGCCTGGTTTTGTAAACTGTAAAGTGCTGGCCACGTGGGTCTTCCTCCTCTTCTTCCCACAAACTAGACCTTTGCTCGTGCCCAGCATCCTCCATCCTTTCCTTGACTCCCCAAATGCCACCCTCTCAAACCCTCTCCTCCAGGAAACCTGGTCTGATTCCCAGTTCACATAGGTACCCTTTCTCTCTCCTCTGAGCATCACAACAGAAGGCTCAGATCCCCTCCCCACCATCCTCTGTTGACCCCATTTTGCAGATGGGAAATGGAGACCCAGAGCTCACACAGCTATGTGATGAAGGAAGCTCTGTCCAGACCCTGCACAGACACACAGACACACAGATACACAGACACACACACACACACACACACACACACAAACACAGACACACACACACACAAGCAGTAAGCTGGGGGAGGGAGGCCGTCCGAAGGAGGAACTGCAGTCCTTCACCTGGAACCTAGTACATGCATGGTGGAGGGGGAGGAAGGTGTGAATTTTACAGGATCTGACTTTCCCCGTCTTCTTCGGGGTGATGAAACCAGGGTCCATTGGCAGGGGGTGAGAAGGGCAGGGAGGACTCTGAGGAAAGACCCTGCAAAATGCCTATAGTCAGGTAGATCCAGCTTCCAACCCTGAGCCCACCATGCACTGTGTGAGCTTGAGAGGGTTATAGCCCCTACCTGAGCCTCAGTTAATTCATCCGCCCAGTGGGGACCTCACAGGTGAGGATTTAAACCTCAGGGGAAGCAACCCAGCCCTGTAAGTGTATTTCCACCTCCGCTCTCTCCGGAACGGCTGGTGTGTCCCAGGTCCTCACCGAGGGAGATCTTCCCCACTGGGGCTGGGAATCCGGAAGGGCACCAGAAAGTTAGAGGCTGGAGCAAGAGAGCTCGCCAGCCCGCCTTCCCCTGAAGCCTGCTGCTTCCTCCGAAAGTGGCCCGCAGGGGAAACAGCGGGATCGTTGGGGGTGAGCTTGGACCGCTGGGGGCCCAGAACAGGTGAGGGCCTGGAGAGAGGCTGTCCCTTTTCCCAAAGCCGGCCCGAGATCCCAGTCTGCCCTTTCCCCCCCCGAAAAGAACCCAGTGGCGTCCTAGCCAAAGCCACACCCCCCGGGGGTGTGCAGAGAGCCCCCATCCCACCGACAGACTCAGCCCCCTCCCCACTCCCAGGCACCGCGAGCCGAAAAGGGGAAGCTGGGCCGGCCGGAGGGAAGAGGCGGGTGGGGGCCAGGCCAGGGACGCAGGACCTGGGGCTCTTCGGGGGCAGGAAAGGGGCCGCCTACCCGGCGCGGGTGACCCGGGGGCCGCTGGCAGGACAGGGGATGGCGGCAGCAGCAGCAGAAGCAGCAGGAACCGGAGTGAGACACTCCGCCCTGCAGAGGGAGAGAGATGAAGGGCTGAGCCTGGCATTCAAGGCTCCACCAGGAGGCAAAGGGGATTCTGGGGCCACCAGGGCTGGACTTACGGCTCATGGTGCAGGGCGGTTGATGGATGCGGGATGCGGACTGCCTGCTCCTTGGGTGCGTCTCTAACTGTGCCCCGGAGCTCTGGCCCGCCTGGCCCGCCCCTCCCCACCCATTCCCTGGCTCCACCTCTCTAGCCAGCTGTCACCTCGGCCTCCGCCCACTTACTTCCTCTGCTCCCACTCCAGCCAAGACATTTTATTAATTATTCTATGATGGACACTAAGGTGGTTTTTCACCCGAGATCCGTGAGACACTGGAGCCTTTAAAACCCAGTAGCACCAGAAGTGTGTCCATTTGGTTGATAAGAAACTGAGGCCCGGAAATGATGTGCCATGCCGAGGGCCCCCAGGGCTTCAGGGCAGAACGGCTGGTATCTCAGCCTAGAAACGTCCGCTCAGAACCACATAGCCCCACCCCCACCCCCACCGCCACCCCCAAGCGGAAGGAGGATGGAAAAGGAGCAGTCCAGGCGGGCCTGCACACAGTCTCCGGGGTGGGAAACCCACTACCCTCAGATCCAACAGGGAGGACGGGCTTCTGCCAAGGGCTAGGCTCTGCCCTCTAAGGTCACGCGTCTCTGCCTGAGCCTCTACTGCCAGAATGAAGAGCACAGACTCCAAGTCCAGGAGACCTAATTCAAATCCAGCCTCTACAGCTTACTAGCTGTGTCTCCTTGGACCTGGTACTTAACCTCTCTGGTCCTCAGTATTCTCTTCTATAAGACGTGGATGCTAATAAGACCTATCCCAGAGAACTGTTGTAAGATTCCAGAAGGTAATGCACACAAACTTCCTGATGCAGTGCCTAGCACAGAGTAGGTGATCCGTTATCAGGAGGTATTCTTTTCAAAGATCTCCTGACTCAGATTCCAGGGTGGCCAGGGTGGAAGCTCCAGCTGGACTCACATCTATCTGCCTACTTTATAGAATCCCAGCACTCAGCTCCTTTTTTTTTGTAGCTGGGGAAACTGATCTTCGAAGGAGGATGCGCCCTGGGTCACACAGGGTCTCCTGGTCCCCACATCCACAGATTTTCTCCCTCAGTTTCCCCCCGACACCCAGCCATCCTGTGGGCCCCAGAGAGTGGAAGGGCAGGCAGGAGGGCTCAGAGGTCCGTATGTGGGCTTCCAGACATCCTTGGGTACAGAATGGGAACCATGTGAGATGGGAGAAGTGAGGCCTACTGGGGAGCCCCTCCTGTGGCCCCACCCTAGCTGTTCACATGCTCCGCTGGGACAAAAGCCAGCTGCCCCAAGGAGACAGAGCAAGCCAGGGCAGATGCGGGCGGGAGTGGAGCAAGTGGAGGGCCTGGGGCCCTGGGGTGCTGGGGAAGTCTGACCCACCACCCAGATCCAGAGCCCCCGGTGGCTACCCCGGCAGGGCGAGGAAACATAAGGCATATGGATTATCAGCCAGAGGGATGCGGGCAGGGTGAGATTCGGGGGTCCAGTTACTCAAACTAAAGGGGGATTTCTGGTGATGAAAAAAGAAGAGTTTGAATGAGGCCCCATCTTCACTCCCAGGTCCTCCCTCCCTTCAGACCCTGAGCCCAGCCATTTCCCAGGCCTGTACCTCCTGCTGACTGCTCACTCCCAAGCCACCCTCCTGAACTCAAAGGAACAGCACCTGTGTGGCCCTGGCACTGAGAAAAAGAGCCTGCAAGTCAGAAGGACCAAGTTCAAGTCTCTCCCGCGGTTTGACCTCAGACAAGTGTCTGCACCCCTCTGGGCTTCTGCTTTCCCATTTGAACAATGTAAAGATCAAATCAGATGGTTTCTGAGAACAGGCATGGAGGGATTGAGCCCTCACTGTGGCCAGGCCCTGTGACCAGTGCTGGAGATCTCGCAAAGGATGCAGTGAAGGAAAGGCCAGAGGCAAGATGGTAGACAGGGTGCCTGTGCAGCCCCCCAGGCACAGGACCGCACCAAGAGGGGGTATGGGGGAGGGGAAGACAAGAGAAATGGTGGCAAGAGCCTGGTGACCGATTGGCACTAGAGCTTCAGGGAAAAAGAGGTGTTCAGGAGGACACCTAGGTTCCTGGCTTGATGCTGGCGATAATACGCAGGGAGGGAACGAGGGATGGGGCGGAGGCTGGGGTAGGCGGCATTAGAATTTGGACTCACGGGCTTCCCTAGTGGCGCAGTGGTTGAGAGTCTGCCTGCCGATGCTGGCGACACGGGTTCGTGCCCCAGTCCGGGAAGATCCCACATGCTGCGGATTGGCTGGGCCCGTGAGCCATGGCCGGTGAGCCTGCGCGTCCGGAGCCTGTGCTCCGCAACGGGAGAGGCCGCAACAGTGAGAGGCCCACGTACCAGCAAAAAAAAAAAAAAAAAATTTGGACTCACTGTGTTTGGTCTCTCTCAGTGGCAGGGTCTGCATGCAGCTAGATACACAGAGAGGGGTCCGGGCCAGCCCTTGCCCCAGCCCTGGGAAAGGCCATAGCATAGGGTCACTTTCCCTGTCCCTTTACTCCAAAGCCTATAGCTTCCATATCCAGGGAGTTTCCCTAACCCTCAGAATGGTGAACGTCCATTCATTGCTCAAGGCCCGGCTCTGTGTCCCCAGGGAAGCATCCTCTGACACACCTCTTCCTCTTTCTGTCCTCTGAGGAAACTCCTATGCCACCCCTGGTCACAGCAGGCAGCATGCTGGATTGTGTGGTCCCTCTCTCTCCCTTAATTAGGCTGCAAGCGTCTTGGTCACTCACATATCCCCAGGGCAGAGCGCAAGATCTGGCATATAGAAGGCACCCAGCAAATGTTGGTTCATTGAATAAAGAAGTGAATGAGTGCCTGTATGAGTGATTGAATTCGTGAAAAAATATAGACCTTCTATGAGTGAGTAAGGGTCTAGGGCCAGCCTCATCAAGGTAACTGCCACCCCCATCCGTCTGCTGTGACAACTACAAAAATTGTCAGTACACTGCCTCAGTTTCTCTGACCTTCCCAGCTGGGCCCTTGGCCAGCACCCTCAACACCCTCACAGGCCCAGCTCCACCCCAGGCCCTGAGCCCCTCCCAGCTCA